AGCCATGGCACTCTACCCAGGGGGACAGCTTGAGGGTCTGTCTCAAAAAAAAAAAAACAAAAAAAACCAAACTTGTTTCAATGTTAGATATTTATTGATACCCTGCTCTGAAATCAGAAAGAGGTAGATTTTATTACACTTTAGCCTGCCTTCCCTTTTCCTCTTAGTTTGGCTAGGATCTTTGTATAGTGTATCAGAGATATAGTAAGTATTTTCTATAGCTATGTCTCCCTACTCTCTTTACGTGGATTTACCACTCTCTACAGTTTATCTTTTCTTAGTTCCTTTTAGTTCCTTTTAAGTTCATTATTTTGGTTTGACTTGGTTGGTTCTATTTTAATATTAAATGTTTTTTTCCAGGAGGGTCTCAGAGAATTTCTTAAGTTATTGAATACTTAATTGTTTTTCTGTCTTCTCACTCCAGCTTATAGTTGAAGCTTTTTGGTTTCCTTAAATTCTAACTCCTAAGGATGATACCAAATCTCTTTAACTATCCCTTGCATACTTTCCTTTGAGACCCTTTCAGTCTGTTGCTCTAGTCTGAATTGATTACTATATATAACCTGAATTTTGGGGAGGGGATTGGGGAGAGATGGAGTCTCATACTTTCTCCAGGGCTAGAACGCGTGATGCCATCATAGCTCACTGCAACCTTGGACTTAGGGGCTCAAGTGATCATCCCCTCTTCCAGCTGGAACTATAGGCATGTGCCACCACACCTGGCTAATTTTAAATGTTTTTATAGAGACAGAGTCTTGCTGTGTTGCCCATGCTGGTCTTACTAAACACTTGGCCTTAGGTGTTTCTCTGCCTTGGCCTCCCAAAGTGCTGGGATTGCAGGCATCAGCCACTGTGCTTGGCTGTAACTTGAACTTTTGAAATATTAACTTAAAGGATGTTTATTGACCCAGAGTTGTTTGGTTTTCAGCTTAGTTTGTTGTCAGGGACAAAGTCGAGAAAGGTTTATTTGTGGAACAATGTGAAAAAGAACGATAGCAAACTATGCACTGTGTTTTGGATCTTGCTCTTTGTTGTTTAATATGTTGTAAGTAAGATGCTTCATATCAGTACATAGAGATCTTTGCTTTCTCTTAATGACTGTTTAATAAATTGTCCACTGTCCCATGCTTACTTTAGCACCACTGAAGGTCATTTAGGTGACTTTTAAATGCTTATTAGACTATTATTGATGGTCTAATAGATCTGCAAGAATAATTTGTATCTGAGCTAGGTTTTTTTTTTAAGAGACAGAGTCTTCTTTTATTGCCCTCAGTAGAGTACAGTGGCATCACAGCTCACAGCAACCTCCAACTCCTGGGCGTAGGCGATTCTCTTGCCTCAGCCTCCTGAGTAGCTAGGACTACAGGTGCCCGCCACAACGCCCGGCTTTTTTTTTGTTGCAGTGTGGCTGGGGCTGGATTTGAACCCAACACCCTTGGTATATGGGGCAGCACCCTACTCACTGAGCCACAGGCGCCACCCTCTATGCTAGTTTTGAGTATAATTTGTAGGATTAATTCCTGGAAACATGCTGTGTTAAAGGGTATATACAGTTTTATATTAAATAATTTACAGATATAAAAAGATTTATAACTTGTATGTAAGGAATACAAAATTAAAGCCAAACATGTGTACCCACCACCCAGTTTAAGAACAGAGCTCCCAGGTCCATGCTTTGGACCTCCTACTGTGCTGCTGAATAGTTACTCCCAGTCTTTTCTCTGCTGGGGTACACAGCCTTCTGATTTCGTATGTATTATTCCCTTGCCTTTTGTTAGAGTTAGTAACATATTTCTGAAACCCTAAACAATGTAAGTTCCTCCTCATTTTGTACTGGTTTCTAAATTACATCATGACTACTTATGTTCCTTTCTAAGTTGTTCTTTTCACTTAACATTGAGGTTTTTGAGTCTCGTACAAGTTGATGCCTAAACATCTACTTTGTTAATTTTCCCTGCTGGGTAGCAGTACCTTGTGTGAATCTGCCTCAGAGGATCTTTGTTTGTGTCCAAGGACATGATGGCTGTTTCTAGTTTGGGGCTGTTACATACAGTGAAGCTGTGAGCATTCTTGGCCTGTAAGTGCAAGCATTTCTTTGAAATTGATTCCAAGGACTAGAATTACTAGGCCACATGGCACACTCACTAATCTTGAGTTTATTTAGGCACCTTTTCTTAGTGAAACATAACCTTTGAACAGAAAACACACAAATCAAAATGCACAGCCCAGTGGGTTTTCACCAAGTACCCAGAAAAGACACGGAACACTCACCAGTCCCCTCAGAAGCCCTCTGGGTCTGCTTCTAGTCACAGCCTCCATTCCCTAGCTCTGCAGAGTAACTGCCTACTTTTCTAATTTATAAAACTATAGGGTTTTTATTGGGGGGGGGTTGCTTTTGAATTTTATGCAAATGGAATCATTTTGTCTGACTTCTTTTGCTCAGCTTCATGTCTGTGAGCTGTGTCCACGTTGTAATGTGTGGTGGTTGTTGATTTTCATTGCTATGAAGTGCCAGTGACTAAATATGACTTATGTATCTGTTCTACTGTAGATGGACTTTTGAATCGTTAGCTTTTTTTAGGAAACAAACAGTGCTCCTTTCAACATTTTTTTTCTGTTGGTATGTGCAAACAAGGGTCTTTCTAGAAAAATATTAGAGTTAGAATTGCTGGGTGTATCATATGTTATCTTTGGTTACACAAGATAATGCCAGATTATTGTGCATTTAAAATGTTTCTATTGGTTCGGCGTCCTTCCTCCGTGGTTAGGGGCGCCGGTCACATACACCAAGGTAAGCGGGTTGGAACCTGGCCTGGGCCAGCTAAACAATAATAATAACTGCAACAAAAAAATAGCTGGGCATTGTGGTGGGCGCCTGTAGTCTCAGCTACTTGGGAGGCTGGGGCAAGAGAAGCACTTAAGCCCAAGAGATTGAGGTTGCTATGCGCTGTGAGGCCAGACACTCTACTGAGGGTGACATAGTGGGACTCTGTCTCAAAAAAGTCCAGAATTTGTCATATTGTTATCTATAGTTGTTATCTTCCTTTATATTTCTACCAGGAACATCTTTATGAGAGTACCTGTCTCTCCACACCCTCACTTATATAGTGCTTTTATCAAACTTTTGTTCTTTGCCTAGTAAGTGGAAAGGAATATCTTATCGAAGGTAAATTAACACTGAAGACTATTATAAGTAAACCTAATGAAAGCTTGCTTTTCTTTTTGCAGCCTGAGACCTCAGATCATTGTTCCCTCCCAGAGGATCTAGTGAGTATTTCTCCATATTCTGGATTGGGGTTCATGGTGCCCTTAATAGGTACTATAAGTAAATGACAGTAACAGTTTGAAGAGTTTGTTTCTCTTTATTTGGTTGCTGATCAAAGACTTTTTAATATAAAGTACTATATTATGAAAATGCTAGTAATAGTAGCACTGTAGATGATCAACCTCCCCCCAGCTTGAGAAAAAAAGTAAAGGGGTATTGCTTTACATTAAAAGGAAATAAAGAGGAAGACGCTGTTCCCCTGCCTTGCTTGAGGGATCAGACTTGCTATACTTGTTTTTCAAGGATGACTTTGTGAACTCTTCTCCACTTGAATCCTTCTAAGAAAAGAACAAGAGGGCCATACTTTGCTTGTCTTGGCCCAGATTCAGCTGCAGGAGTGTTCTCAGCACTCTGGACCTCAGCCTCTGCCCTGTCTGTGGGCAGGACCTCCAGCTGGCAAAGCCTTCTCACTGTTCACATCTTCATAAAACTTTGCTACCTGAGCTGAGAGAGTTCATGTGCCATGTAACCAGATCCAGTGACTGTTTCAGAGAATGATTTTTTAAATATCAGATTTCTGGGTTTCTAAAATTCTGAGAATTCTGAGTCATTCTGATTTTTAGTGACTTATGATTGTGAATTTGAGGTTCTACAAGGTGTCCCAGAGGTCACCCCTAAAGTCACCATACATAGGGAAAATGAGAAATTGTTGCTAAATGTACCTTTACTTACAAAATTTTCATTATAAAATTTCACAAAGAGATGGCCAACATGTAGAGAATATGTTGTGTATTGTAAAATTTTGTCATGTACTCTCAAACATATCCACAGTAAAGCGGTGGTCCAAATAATTTCTGCATTTAATGTAGAAAGGATGAGATTATAGAAAGGAAAAATAACTTTTAATATGGTTGCAGTACCTTATTTTTCTGTCCCCTAATAGGGAGACTGCTTTGCACCCGGAAAAATATGAACTTCATCATGGAGGCCATATTCATGGGATATAAGAACTTAAAAACATTTGAGAGTCCCTGAATATTCATCTGCCAGTTACATAATGATTTTTGTGTTTAGTTAAGATAAAGTTAGGAATAGGTTTATAGCTATAATTATTTACCCCTCTTTTTTTTTTTTAAATTCCTGTGGATTATAGAATCAATTTTGAAGCGGTTTCTAAATTTTGAGTGGGTGCATTGGTTTCCTAGGGCTGCTGTAACAAGTTACCACAACCTGGTTGATGTAAAACAACAGAAATAAATTCTTTTGTAGTTCTGGAGGCCAGAAGTCTGAAATTAAGGTGTTGGTGGGGCTGTGCTCCCTCTGGAGGCTCCAGAGAGGATCCTCCTCTACCTCATCTGGCTTCTGGTGGTTGCCAGCAAGTCCTCAGCTTCCTTGGCTTGTAGACACACCGCTATGATCTCTGCCTCCATCATCATGTGACCTTTTTCCCTGTGTGTCTCCCTAACTCTGTCTCTTCTCTTAACCAATCATAGTGAATTTCAGGCTCTCTCTAGTCCAGGATGACCTAACTCATTACATTAGCACAGAGTTTATTTCCAAGTAAGGTCACATTTTATTTTATTTTTTTTTTTCTTTTTTTTATTGAACGGTAACTATGTACATTAATGCACTTCTGGGGTACAGTGTGGGGTTTTCACATGCAATCTGAAATACTTCCATCAACTGGTCAACACAGCCTTCATGTCATTTTCTCAGTTATTGCTTTAAAACATTCACATTCTACTCTTAGAAAGATTCACCTGTACCCCTATAAGGTAAACCTCAGAAGTAATCCCTCCAAACTCCCAGGTCACATTTTAGAGTTTCAGGTAGATATGAATTTTGGGGGAACAGTAATCCAATACACTGGGTGTTTAATTACATATGCTAATGGATTGATTACATAAAGTATAATTTCTTCAGTGACATATGTGAGAGTAGGATTTTTGGTGGCTTATTGACAGAACTATAGCCAGGTGTCCAGGAACGGTGACTAGCAGAGCAAATACTAATTTACCAGTCACTGTTTTGAGTTTTTGCTATGCTAGTGTAGAGGCTGGCTTGAAGTACCCTCAGGTGGGCTTCTAGGGAAAAAAAAGACTAGGAAGAAGTAGGATGGCAGGACCCCTCTTGAGTCTTGACTCAATTTTCCCACTCTGCTGTGTGACCCAGGAAATAGAAGAGAATAGGAAAGGCCAGGTTCATGTTTTTTAAGGCTCCAAGCTTTTGCCCTCCACTTTTGGTCCAGTCAGACTGGTAAGGGCTGAATTCTGTCTACTCTTTCCTTGGGACTGAGCTAGAAAGGGGGTTGGTAGAGGCAGACCTGTGTGTTGGAGCTCCCCTTTTGGGATAGTGTAGGCTAATCAAGGATAGTCAAGCTGAGAACAAGCCCTAAGAGCAAAGGTTATAGACTCAAATACCTTCAAATACCTTAGCTGGGCGAGTAAGATGAATGTATGAGGCAGCTGGCAGTAATTTATAGGCTGTATAAGGGCTTGCAAACTGTAAAATGCTTGCCCACATTTTAACTCTGAAATCTAAAGACCAAACAAAATTCATCTCTAAGCCAGATTTACCCTATAGACTTAATGTTTGCAAACTACTGCTTGATGGCAAATGGTATTTGCATGGAGCCGAGAGCACTATTTGCATGGAAGGTCCCTGAGCTCAAGGTTCCCTGTGTCAGATTCTTAGAATTCCTGGAACATATGTTTAAGATTGTACTTAAAAAAGGTTTTTTGTCTACCATGGGATTTGTGGCAATATTGCTTTAGAAGCCATGTAAGTTTTATTTTTATTGTAATAGCTAGCCATCATGTGGGTGCTGGGATCCAGTGACTCCATATGTTAAACCAACTCAAACACGATCACATATTTGAAGACCAAAAATAGCTTCTTTTGTTCAGTCTACATTTGGCATTTTATTTTGAGGGTTGCAGTGTACTTTTCTCTCTGAAAGCTTTAAAGCAGTAATGCTTGACCACTACTTAGAAGAATTATTTTTTATGCTCAGTTTCTCAATTTCAACTGTCCTGAAATCCTATGTAAAAATGGGGGCTGGATGATAGATGATTACCAAGAGGAGATATATTTCCCATCTCCGGCTTACACCTAGGCCTACAGTAGCTTTAAGACTTAGGCATTGAGTGGGTGGGAGTTGTGGGGAGGTTGTTGCTATATTTTGGAAAGAATTCTGCCTAAGAAACATTCTCTCCAGGTATCATCCGCCCATTTTTGTTTCAAAATCTGTGTGTAAAACTCTGGCATAGAATTGTTAAGATGGAGAGGGAAAAGGCACAGTGAGAGGGCTGAGGATGAATGAAATGAAGAGAATCCTGTCCTTGGTGGAAACTGCATGTATACTTCTTGTCTGCTTTTGTCCCTCTTCTCCTGCTCGGCCCCTCACAGCGAGTGTCAGAAGTTTCCAACCACTGGTGGTACTCCATGCTCATCCTACCTCCTTTGCTGAAAGACAGTGTGGCAGCGCCTCTGCTCTCTGCTTACTACCCTGACTGCGTTGGCATGAGCCCCTCCTGCACCAGCACAAATCGTGCTGCTGCCACCACCAGCAATGCCAGCCCTGGGAAGCTGGAGCACTCCAAGGCAGCCCCCTCTGTGCTGGGTGAGAGCCATTCCTGGTACTCCTTGCTTTCTGTTCCCTGCTCCTCCCTAGAAATGGATGGGTGAGCAAAATACAAAAGATTTTTTAAAATGTGTGCAGCCTGTGATCTAAAGCACCTCACTGCTTCATAGATCATCCCATGGGTCGGTCATATCATTTGGGTATAGTGTGTGGTTAATTTCCTCCTAACTAATCTGGAGGGCCTGCAGCACTTATTCATGGGTTACCTACGGTGTTTAATGAATGTTTATTTGAAAGTTGGATAGCTGTCTCATTTAATGATAACATGAACGCTGACTTACTGGGAAATAATTTTGAATATGTGAGCAGTCCTTTTTTCTTTGAGTCTTCCTGTTGTTAATTATGCCATTGGTGAACCCAGCAAAATGATCTACTCTCAAAAAAATTTGAAACCTCAGGTCAGGGCAGACATGCTGTTGACTATTTACTTTTAAAGGAATCTTTAAAATTCTCCATTAGAATCTTTGCCCCTGGAATTTGATGGGGCAAATAGATTTTTGCCTTATGGCCCTGTCTAAATGTTTTTAATAACATTAGGCCCTATTAAAATGTAGTTGTGAAAATCAAAGCTAATGTGGCAATTTCCAGAGTTAATGAAGGTACATTGAAGAAATAGGCATTCAAATACTAGAGTATACATTCACGAAAGATGATTTAGCACTGTGCATCAAAAACCTTAAAATAGGCTCGGCGCCTATAGCTCAACTGGCTAAGGCGCCAGCCACATACACCTAAGGTGGCAGGTTCGAATCCCCCGCCCGGACCCGCCAAACAACGACGTTTGCAACCAAAAAAATAGCCGGGCGTTGTGGTGGGTGCCTGTAGTCCCAGCTACTTGGGAGGCGGAGGCAGGAGACTCGCTTGAGCCCAGGAGTTGGAGGTTGCTGTGAGCTGAGATGCCATGGCACTCTGCCCAGGGGGACAGCTTGAGGCTCCTGTCTCCAAAAAAAAAAAAAAAGAAAAGAAAAAAAAAACCTTAAAATAGAGGTTTAACACTCTTTGACCCAGCAGTGGTATTTCTGGAAATTTGTCTTAAATAAATAAAGCAAATCTACAGATTTATGTATAAAGGAATTTGTTTTGGTATTGTTTATAATAGTGAAATAATTGAATAAAATTTAAATGCCTAGCAATAGGGGAATGGTTAAATAGTAAGAAGACATATGGCCATTGAAACCGTATTTGGTGACATGGGAAAATGATTTTGTAAATTTTAAAAAGCAGGTTAGATGGCCAGGTGCAGTGGCTCATGCCTGTAATTCTAGCACACTGGGAGGCTGAGGTCAGCGGATTGCTTACGCTCATGAGTTTGAGACCAGCGTGAGCAAGAGTGAGACCCCGTCTTTACTAAAAATGGGAAAAAAAAACTGAGGCAAGGGGATCGCTTGAGCCCAAGAGTTGGAGGTTGCTATTAGAAATGATGCCATGGCACTCTACCCAGGGCAACAAAGTGAAACTCCAGAAAACAGTACTTTCACTGCAATTTTCCCATCTTTACAAATATCTATTATATTAATATTTAATGCATTATAGATATATAATAGAATTCTCTATTTATAGAAACAGAAATAAAGGTAGAGTATTCCTCTAAAGATAATCCCTCCACTCAGACATAATCAGGGGTTAGTGATTGTTATTTACTTCTGTGAACCTTTCTTATAATCAGAAAAAGTGCCATAAAAGTTAACTTTTAAAATATATCTCATGGAAAGTTGGTATTCAGTGGGTATAGAGTTTCATTCTTACAAGATGAAAAATTTTGAGGGATCTGTTGCATAGCAATTTGAATATTCTTAATATTAAACTATACACTTAAAAATGGTTAGAATAGTAAATGTTATGGTACTTTTTTCTACAATGAAAAATTTAAAACAATTCTTGTGTACCACCGAAACTAAAGTTGTGAACAACTTGCAAAGAAATGGGAAAAAAATATTGTATTTGTATATATTTGACCAACTTGGATGGAGGAAGCAGAGATATTTTACTAGGATGGAGTGTGGGTTTTGTCTAGGCTATCCTTTTTGGTTGTTTTTTCTCTTTGATTCTTGATTTGGAAGTCACAGCTTGTAGAAGTTCATTTGTGTCACCTGTCAGTTCCAGGAATGAACCGGTACTTCCAGCCCTTTTACCAACCTAATGAGTGTGGCAAAGCCCTCTGCGTGAGGCCAGATGTGATGGAACTGGACGAGCTCTACGAATTTCCAGAGTATTCACGAGACCCCACCATGTACCTGGCTTTGAGAAACCTCATCCTTGCACTGTGGTATACTAACTGCAAAGTAAGTAAGAGTGTGTTAGGGAACAGCACATGGGTAGAGTACTTTGTTGAAACAGAGGAGCTGCTTTATCCAGAGTTGGAACCTTTAGATCCCGGGTTCTCAATGTTGGCACTTTTAACCTTTTGAACAGATAATTCTTTGTGGTGGAGGCTGTGCTATGCACTGCAAGTTGTGTAGCCACACCCAGATACATCTCTACGAATTTACAAATAGACGTAGAGTCAACCCTTGTTGAGAACCACCACTTTAGACTATATAGAATCAGAATGCTGACTCTTTTTTTTTTTTTGGGGGGGGGCAGAGCCTCAAGCTGTCCCCCTGAGCAGAGTGCCGTGGCATTACAGCTCACAGCAACCTCCAACTCCTGGGCTCAAGCGAGTCTCCTGCCTCCGCCTCCCAAGTAGCTGGGACC